GTCCCATAGACCTCGTCGTTGATACCTTCAACAGGATGTCCACATTTTAGACAAATCATTGAAAATTACATGTACATATATATTAGTTTACTTATCTGATTAAAAGTTCAATATTCATCTCATGTTTTGTAGATCTGTATTATTCCTGATATGTAGTTTTGCACTGTTTACATCCTTTTTTGTAAATATTCTTCCAGATTGTGTCCAGATGAATTTATATCCAAGCTCTTTCTTTCGTTTCCATGTTTCTTTAAATAAATCCTTATTCTTCTTGGACAGGCTTTCCGAGATAAATATTTTATTTCCTGTGGAATTCAGTAACGGCAAGTCTGAAGTTGACTTATTACGGAGCATTCTTCGTGAGGAATATAATTTCTCCTTAACTTCCCTTGTGACAAATTTAACTATAATCGGCGGTGGGCGACTTGACATTTGGTCTTCACTGCCATGGCGCTCTTTTAATCTGTGACTAACTGATATATCTTGAGGGTTAATGACCACGTCCGTGAGATTGCCTACTGCCTGGACAATCTTGTCTGTTTCTTCGTTAGTTTCCATTGGAATCCCCCGTATTTCTAGACAATCGCGTCTAGAATACTGTTCGATTTCACTGATAGATTCTGCTTGCTGTTGTACTTGCAATTCAAGTTGTCTAACCGAGTCGTTTAGCCGTTTATTTTCAACTTCGAGTCCCTTATTCTTGTCCTCGAGGGTGTCAACTTTTTTAACAAGTTCATCGTACTTAGCGCTAAGGAAAGTAATCGAAGTCAGAATCTCTTCAAGTTTCTTGTCTATAGGATTGAGTTTCTTGTCCAAGATTTTCTCAAGTGGAATTTTATCATTAGCACGTTCATACTCTGTTGTTTCTTCATTTCGCGAGGAGCAATTTAGCCAATAGAATGCGTTGGAATTGATAATTTAGTCGTGCTGGCCTGACGAGAGCACGACTAACGGGCGGATTACCCATTAGTCCTGCTATTAACCTGCGGTCGGGTGAAACTACGCAATCATACCTTGAATTGGTTTAAAATCATGGCAAAATCACCGGATTTGAAGGGATTTCGCACTTAATAGATGACGCAAGTGTACGACGAATCATTTTTAAAATTTTGGGGGAATTTTTTTTTAAGACTAAAAAATTATTTTCTTTGAAAAAATTTTACTCGTGCTCAGCACGACTAGCACGACCTCTAGCTTCGCCACTGGTTCAACAATGCTATACCAAGGCAGCATTCACTACCCTGTGGGTAAACTAGTCATATACATATCGTTTAATTTAGCTTCAAAAACGTGTTCGTTCCCGCGGAGCGCAATGGTGTCACTGAGTTGCCAGAGGTAGAGCACATGCAAAGACGCCTCGGTATAAACTCATGTATGTAACGGGAAATCTTGCTTATTTCAGTCTAATAAAATCAACCTTTTTTCTTTGATAATGTACGCAACATGCTGCGCATTTTACATTTAACAAAATAAGTTTTTGAAGCTAAATTTAACGATATGAATATGATTACACTCCGCGCATTATGTATTACGCCTGAAAAGTGTAGAGGTATCATATTCTGTCAAAATAACAGCGGCTAGTGCGCTCGGTTGGCAAATAGCCCGACATGGCGACATCGTACAAATCAATATCATTTCGGTTTTCAATCGCGAAATCCCAAATCGTACTAGCAATTTCTTCCAATTTATTAATTCTTCCAATTTATGGAATATTTCCGAACGCCACATACCCTATTAAAGAACAGCATTCAAACATGAAATGTTTGTCTACTTTTAAGGGCCACGAACATATACTAGGTCTAGGAGATAAAATAGCAAAATTTGAGGCTCGAGCGTTGGCCACTTATACAGCGTAGAATTTATAGCTCAATATGTTTGCATCAGACAATATGCAATCGACATAGTTATTCGCGACATTCATGGTAGGGTCTAGGGACTATAACACTTCCAAAGCCGAATAAACCTATATCTTAATATCCTATAACTTAGGACATTTTATCATCAAACAATACATTTATAGACTTATTAGACTATACGAAACGGAAACATTTACTTCTTATACTATAGATAACAGCAAGATAAGAAATTGAGATACTGGAGATTTGTTGCGTTAAATTTTCCTGTATTTATCTAGCGCATAAAAGGAAAAAGTACGAAAAAAATATTAAAAATAAAAATATGAAAAAATGCGTTTTTAGCACATTTTATGACCCACGACTTTACCCACGACTTTACCCACGACACACGACTTTTAACCCACGACATATAGGGACACTCTTTTAGGTATGATGTATAGTACAATGGGGAATCTTCTAAAGTAAATAAATTGGCAATATGGACTGTTGTTCATTATTACAAATCGGCGCTATACGATACAGTATAAGTATTCTGAATTTTGTCGCTTCTTCATATAAAGATGTCGTTAACATAAGAGCTAATATTCCTTCTGTATAAAAATCGGACGAGCATATATTTAAATTCATATGTTGGGAATTCTCACAGTACATAATCTTATCATTTGTGTGCCCCCAAAAAATTCACCTTTGGCACAAAAGGGAATTGCCGCGCATATTTGGCAGCCTATTCCAGTATACTAGTGCCGACGTTCATACCTACAACACTAAATGTTCATGAAAACAAAAGCACTCGCAATCTGCATCTCACATCAACAGTGAGAAAAGCAGGAGAAAGATTGACACTCAAAAGAATGTTTTAGCTACAGTGACCCTTAAAAACACAAAGCGGGATTAACATTTTGTTTTGGAATGTTATTTGATTTTTTTAACATTCTTGAGATCGACATTTCAGATTATATCTTACTTTGTTTGAAAAATTACTTTCGGTTTCGATGATCACGAATATTTTTTCTGAAAAGTATTATCGTGCGGCTAAAAGCTTAAATTAATGAAACATCGAATATGTATGCTCACAGTTAATAGAAGGGGGATGGTTAGGCTAGCGTACCACGTGACAAAATATGTTATTGTCCTCTTTTTATTTTGATCATGTGACCAATAAGCGGTATCAGACACTCAAAGCTCAAATTATATTCATGAGCGAACATACAGCTGTTTAACGAATACTGTGTATTTCTTCCACTGTTTACTTCGCTGATTCAAACTATTATATTAAGAGGAGTTCTTGGGCATATGGGTGGCGGTAATTGCGCCTTTTTTGGCTGTCCGACTAGCGGAAAGCACAAGCTTTCGCTGTTCAGAATCCCTTCAGTAAAGTCTGTTGATGGCGAATATACGAAGGAATTGAAGCGAAAAGCTCGCGAAGAATGGCTTCGCTTGATCCTCAGAACACGGGAAACGACGGAAGAAGTGAAACAGAGAATTGAGGCAAACAATATTTTTGTTTGCGAGCTGCATTTTAAACCAGAATGTATCGTAACTGGTAAGTATTTGTGGCCTATATTTTCGTGATATATTTCTTTGTAGGGACAGCTGTTTATACAATAATATAGTCAAATATTTAACATAAAGGACGCATTGTTCATGAATATTTATATATTATTTGCTACTGTATAAACTGAATCTAATTTGCATGTTAGGAAAAAGAAAAACATTGGTTACGGGCAGCATCCCGACAGAGAACCTGCCACAGAAAAGCCACGAAGCTCCTAGTAAACCAGAACGCCGATCTCTTGTGAGGAAAGTTGACACTGCTGTCGTTGAAAAGCCGTCAACATCGTCTCAGATCGAGCCACGATTTGCCGATATGGAGGATTTTACAAAGCAGCTCGACCAGATGACAATTGAACCATGGCAAATTGACAAATCCTACCAGGGTGAGATACGGATCGAGTTTTACGACAAGAATCATTGTGCTCCTAATTACAGTGTTGTTGTAAATTCATCTCTGGAATTCACTATATTTGTATTCAGCTGGCCACTACCTGACCACCATCTAATTTATAAGGAACATAAACGTTCTATTAAGTATTTGGACGTACACGAGCTGTTGCAAACGATAGAAAATTCCAGATTTTGCCAGGGACTGATAGAGGACGAAGATATTATGTCTGCTGCTACTAATCCAACTGGAAATCCTGATCCAAACCCAGTCACAATTGTACGCCATACCATTCCTAAAACGATCGAAGTCCAAGAGGCTCATTTTGAAGTGACACTCTTTTATCGATCAGTTGCATGTGATATCCTTGTTGATAGCAAACATTCGAAGGAATCTTGTCAACCTTGTGCAACTGCCTCTAACACAGTAAAGAGAGCTGCACGAAAGAAGAGCAAAGCCTCTGCAACCCCAGCTAAATCTAAAGCCTCTTTACAAGCATGTGGTCCAGACAAGTTGCGGGCGACAGTAAGATCAACAAGATTGCAAGTGAAAGATCTTGAGGACCGCTTGCAGCAAATGCAGACAAAGATCGAGCAGCAAGGGATTGGGATTAGCGAAAGCTTGGAGAAGGACATTCTCAAAATCA